TCTTCCCTCACCTGCTCTGACCCCTCACTGGTCTCACCTCCCTCACCCACCCACCTCCCTCACCTGTCCCGCCCCCTCACCCACTCCCCACCTCCCTCACCTGCCCTATCCCCTCACCTGCCTCCCACTTCCCTCACCTGCCCTGCCCCCTCACCCCCCACCTCCATCACCTGCCCCGCCCCCTCACCAACCCCCCCACCTCCCTCACCTGCTCTGCCCCCTCACCTGCCTCCCACCTCCCTCACCTGTCCTGCCCCCTCACCTGCCACACCTGCCCTCACCTGCCCTGCCCCCTCACCTGCCCTGACTGCCCTCACCTGCTTTGCACTCGCAGGCCGCGTACAGGTAGTTGTTGGTGCGCAGCAGCTTGCACTGGCCGTAGGGGCCGCAGTCGTCGATGCAGGGGGAGAGGTAGGTCCGTAAATACACCTCCGCTGTCACGTTAGCGCAGGGCTCGAACCTGCCACACACAGCCTGGCGTCAGCGTGGGGGAGGGGACAGGAGCGGTACAGGGGGCGCGAGACCCATGCGACGGACGCTGCCACTCGCCCGCCCCATGCCCATCCCCCCCAACCTGCCACACGGCAGGCACCAGCACAGCTCCGGGCCACACACACATAGCCTGGGCCAGGCCATGGGCACCGCGCCAGCACCCAGCACCTGCCGGAGATGCCAAGTCAACGAGTCACCCACCACCAGCCAGCAGGGCCCTGACCCCACGCTGACGCCGCCTGGCTCCAGCACTGACAGTCAGACAGACCCACGGGGACAGACGGTCCCAGGGATCTACACTCAGAGGCCTTGTCTTTCCTGGGAGGAAAGGGTATCTCCAGCCCTGTGTGATGGGTATTAATATGAACTGTGACCATATAAATCATTGCTCCAACCAAGGTCCTGTAGTGGCACCAAATCTTGTATAAAGGGGGTCAAATAAGGTGTCTATCACAGGGTTATGGTTTGCTGGTTATGATGATGCTGTCTGGGTGCATGTATCATTTTTGTATTTAAAGTTATAAGCATTGGCTCTGTACTGTCTGTATTTCAAACTTGTGCTGTGCTTCTGGGTGACACCCCAGACAATTTGATATCAGCACTGCCTGGCCTGCTTGACGGCCCATTAAGGACCATCAGCTACTGTGACGTTATTGACATAATCGGGGACCATATAGATCATTGTTGCAACCAAAGTCCTGTAGTGGCACCAAATCTTGTATAAAGGGGGTCAAATGGGGTGTCTAGGACAAGGTTCTGGTTTATTGGTTATGATTATGCTGTCTATATGTGTGTATCAATTTTGTAGTTGAAGTTATGAATATTGGCTCTGTACTGTCTGTATTTCAAACTTATGCTATGCTGCTGGGTGACATCCCAGACAAGTTGATGTTAGCTCTGCCTAGCCTGCTTGATGGCCCATTAAGGACCATCAGCTATACAATGGACCCATTGAGAGAAGGCAGATACGCCTTGTAACTCAGCAAAGTATGCAGGAACTGGCCCATGTCCTGAGTTGGCACTCTCAGTTGGGTTCCGCCAGAACCACATTGTCACAGTGGCGTAGTCGTGCTTGGATCCACAGAACCAGGTCAATGAAGCTTTGGGTCAGAACCCCACGCTATCCACATTGGAATTTTGGGATTGAGAGTTTGTTGGTTAAAGAGCAGTGACCATGAGCCCGAAAGCATCAGCAGAAGCAATGAAACTGCAAGCCCGGATGAACAGCCTGCAGTCTGAACATGAGCAAAAACGGGCAGAAATTTGAATGGAAGAGAAGCGAGTCTTGGCCCAGCTGGAGAAAGAAGCTGATGAAAGAAAGAAAAAGCACGTAAGGAGCTTCTGGAGCTTCTGGCAGCTGAGAAGGAGACGGCCAGACTCCAGCTCCAAGTCAAAAAAGCAAGGGACGAACAGCAGAAACTGTATCCTCTGGAAAATCCAGTGTATAACTCTGTGGATATGTGGTTTTACTCTGGGCAGTTTTCTGTGTTTAACCAGTTTTGCTCTGGCCATGGAGAGGGGGATTCTAACCTGGGGGGTAGTAGCTGTGTGTCTGTGCAGGAAAGCAGTGTGGCTGTGAATGGAGTGTCTGAATGTCTGTCTAATGTCTCAGGAGTGGATCTGGAATTAGATCAAACACAGAAAGATCTCATTGGTCAGGACAATGTTTCTCGGGAGCAGATTAAAGTAAATGGTCACGTTGAAGCCCTAACTGAGGAAGGAAAGGGGAGATTTTTGATGGGTGATGGATTGTTGGCAAGTACAGCTTGTAAAAGTGAACCTGGAAAGGGTCACTGTGATTTGCTGGCAGTAGCTCAGTGTAGTGAGAAGAACAGCAGTGTATCTGTGGGGAGTAGCTGTGTGTCTGGTAAGGAAGAAGGTGTCTCCAGCTCTTCTTTGTCTGTGGAGCAGACAGAAGGTGCCTTTCAGCCTGTGATAGTTGAGGGTAGTGCAGTTGTCTCAGAGTTGGTTCTGGATTCAACTAAAGCCCAGGAAGGGAATGGTCCTAAGTTTGTGTCTACTGGGGAGAATGGCACTGGAACTAGGTTGCATCCAGTTAGTGTCTTAGCAAAATCCCAGAGACCAGACAATTCTGGTGCTTGTATTTTGCCTGTTGCTAATGTGTGGTTGGGAAAAGGTGTAGCAACTCTGTCTGATCAGGGGGATGCTGTGACGAACTGGGACTGTTCTTACTGTGGTCTGTGAATGCTGACAGGGGAGTGTGGCTGGGATAGTCTGCATTGGGGGATGGGAGTCTGCCCGAAGGAGAATACCTGAGCGTGTAACATGAGAACCCAGGAAGGGGTTGGAGGCCAGGTGACACCTTGGCCC